TCATGTGGTTGGTTGGTTTTAATGGAATTTTTTGTTTGGGATGTGTTCTGGAGGACGGTCTGATCTTTAGATGCTGGGGTTTAGTTCATGCATATACCGTAAGTAGCCCTCTCTTTTAGTTCCATGCTAACAGCTGATCTTTGATTGTGGGCCTCATGTTCAGTGTGAAGTGAAATGCTGGGCTCCAACCTGTGTTCACTGTCAGTGTTGGGGCTCAATAACTTGGGTTAGGGTAATGGATCTTCTATTTTGGTTTCTTGTGGTTAGTCACTTGGGCCATGTTTGGTTTACTGTTTTGGGCCTCATTTTTATATTCTAGTTTATTCTAGGCAAGAATGAGCAGGAATGAATAGAGTGTTTGATTACAAAATTCTTGTCAAGGGCCACATTCTTTTTAGAATGAAAAATGAGCTTCATAGCACAAAAATTGAGTAACTTGCAGCATGAAAAATAATCATGCCCTATCTTGCTCATTTCATTCTTTGAAGAAACTCTACCTACAAACTATTGTCATAAATGTTTACTTTTGTGAAAGCACTTTTACAAAAACACTTATAAAAGTACTTTTGCATACATGAAAGCACTTTTATGAAAGTGCTTTTATGAAAACACTTTTTTAGAAGTACTTTTACAAAAGTACTTATGTAAAAGCACTTTTAAGGAAGTACTTTACAAAAGCACTTTTACGAAAGTACTTTTATAAAAGCACTTTTACGAAAGTACTTTTATAAAAGCACTTTTATGAATGCACTTTTATAAAAGCATTTTTACGAAAGCACTGTTATGAAAGCATTTTTACAAAAGAACTTTTATGGAAGTACTTTTATGGAAATACTTTTATAAAAGCACTTTTACAAAAGCACTTTTATAAAAGCACTTTTACAAAAGCACTTTTATAAAAGTACTTTTATGAAAGCACTTTTATGGAAGCACTTTTATGAAATTACTTTATGAAAGCACTTTTATGGAAGTACTTCTACAAAAGCACTTGTAGGAAAGTACTTTTATAAAAGCACTTTTGCGAAAGTACTTTTACAAAACATCTATGCCAAGTGGTAAACTTTAACTATTGGAGACCTAAGCTAGCAGTCTGTGAAGAGCAACATAGGACATTTGTCAATATGAAAAGAATTCATTTTTAGGAAAAAAGTGTGGTTCATAGCAATATTTTCTTATTCTGCCTATTTTTACCAATTCTTTTTCATCTTGGATAAGAATGAAAAGGAATGAGAATTGAACCAAATATGACCTTAATTGCTTTTGTCTTTATGCTTAGATAGCTTGTCATTCATGGGTTGAGGTCAACTCTAACCCAAGTTATTGAACCCCAACCCTCATGAACATCAGGTTGGATTAAGGTTGACCCAACATTTCACATCTTTTTACTTTACTAAATATTTTATTTCTTAGGTTTTGAATAAACCAAATAGTCAATCAAGGTTAGCTTTCGCATTAAAAAAGTTTTTTTTTTCCTTTTGAGCTTAAAATTGTTGATATAATATATGTAAATATGACGACATGATGGTTCTGGATTGAGTTGCCCAACGCCTCAGCCCTAACCCTAATCCAATCCTACAGCTTGGGTTCATATTTTCAACCCTAATGTTAACCCAATCCACCTTGACCTTTTTTAGTTTAGCCTGAACCCCTAATCCAAATGAGCAAATTTCTACTTGGAGAGTGGCAAAACCTTTGAGAATTATAAACACATAATAGTGGTTCTACCAATCTATACGAATAAAAAAAAATATGGCTAGAAAATGCTGCCTTTTATACTAAAGACAAACACCATGCTCCATTGCTTTTAGCAGCTTTTACCAATAGAAAAGAGTGCAATGGGGAGTGGATCATATCTAAAAGAGAGCAATGTTGGTGCAAGGACCCAATTACAGTAGATTTCCATTATACTTAATCTGTGTTTGGTTTGAAAGAAAAGGTAGGGAAAGATAGGGAAACCCATACAAGGTCTGCATAGGTTTTCCTGCCTTTTCTTTCCTTTCCCTACCTTTTCCTTCAAACCAAACATAGCCTTAGGGATTCTTAAAAATTTTCCATGAACTTTGTGATTTTCTCTTATTTTCTATCAATTAAACCAAATACAGCCTTAGAGAATTATGACTCTTCTTTGTGTTATTGGTTAACTCTTGAAGCATTTGGATTGGGTTCTCTGGTTCTCTGTTTGAGTTAGGAAATTAAAATTAGATTTGGTTTTTCTTATTAAAAGATTAACATGAATTGAGAAACAATATGATTTGTTGGAGTGGAAATTCACTCTGAATGTATTTTTATTTTTATTCTAAATTAAATTTTATTTATCCTTTTTACTGACTCGGAAGCTAGTCATGCGTTTGAAGAAGAAGCCCTCTTGTCTGAGGGCTTTGCTTTATTATTATAGGCTACCAGGAGACCACTGCATCTGCATGGCACACAAGGTGAGTAACAAGAGTACAAAAGTAAAAAGACGCAAAATCCAATTTAAAAAGGCAGGCTTCTTGGGATTGTGAGAGGCAGATTGTTCATGTGGTAGAAAATACATTGAATGGTCATATGGTAGGGAAAAAATAGAAATATAGAAAGGCTTCATTTACATCTTTATTAGTCATTTAATTGGATAAATGCACTTATCTAGGTTATTAGTGTTCTTTTATTTCCCAGATAAAATTGTACAATGACTGTTTTATCCAAAAAAGTTACATTATTGTAGGGATAATATCATCTCGTCACATATTAGCAATTTTCCATGCGAGTGGGTAAATGGGTTGTTTAGGAAAATGAATGTGGCAAAAAAAGAGGAGGATTATATGCCTAGACAGAATGAAATGGCGAAACAAGATATATGTAGCCAACCACCAATAGTTGGGATAATGTTTGGATGATGATGATGATGATGAATAAGAAGAAGAGATGAAAAGAGAGAAAAAAAAAAGAAAGGGAAATTTCACTTTAGTAACCTAAACTTTTGGGGTAGTGTCAAGTTAGTACTCGAACTTTGAAATGTGAAAGTGTCAAGTTAGCCTCTGCCGTTAACCGAACATCAGTTATCTATTGAAAATGTCAAAACTACCCTTCAAAAAAAAGACATTGTTCATTGTCTTTTATTTTGACACTGAAGCAGTTATCTTTAAAGAAAAAGAGAGAAAAAACATGAAATCTGATAGAGGGAAATAATAACTGAAAGCAAAAAAATAACTAGACAAAAATGTGTTTCAGATCTAAAGATAGAAGACAATGACTTCATTAATCTAGAATCTCAAACACCTCAACCGGTTCAGTCTCAAGGTAGAAGACAATGAACAGTGTCTTCTCTTGAAGGGTAGTTTTGACATTTTTGACAGATAACTGACGGTCGGTTAACGGCAGGGGCCAACTTAACACTTCTTGAAAGTTTAGGTACTACAATGACACGTTTCAAAGTTCGGATACTAACTTGACACTACCCCTAAAGTTCAAGATACTAAAGTGGAATTTTCCAAAAAAAAATAGAGAGGGAAGAAAACACTACATTTAATAAACATTTCATATGATGATCAGACTGTATTGGCATTATATGGTAAAGAAATAAAAAATCACAGGAAGAGCCAAGTAATCATCTCCCTGTTATGATATATAAGTGTAGATTTTAATTAGGAAGCTAAGTTAGATTTGATTTGTGATCAAAGTATACGAGGTAAATTTTCTAATTTAACTCGATAATATTTGGACTTGTTGTTGGTGCCAAGTCCAATTAGGTTGTCCAAGTGAAAACCATTCGAAAAAAATTCTTATCCAGCACAGTTATCTGTGATGGAATGGTGGTATGAGCTTCAGGTAGGCTGTAGACAATCCTACAAACCTTGGTTGAATTAGGAAATAACAGGATTTTAGAAATAGAGTGGGATCTAGGGGTGATCATGGGCCAGGCCGGGTTTTGCACTTATGATAAGATTTATAGCTTAGGCCTGAAACATAAGCCCTAGCCCAGGTCTACACAGATTTGGGCCGGGTCGGGCCTGATTTTGGACCAATATCTTTCATGTATAAAACATTACATATCTATAATATTTTTATATTAAATGACATAACATGCATATAAACTTATTTTATACATTATATACTATAAAATATTACATATAATATAAATTATATATGCCATCTTATAATATTTATATATAAAATATATAAACTAATATAAAATAACATGTATATATATACACAAAATGTGTAAGTTTAAATATATGAGGACCGGGCCAAGCCGGGCCAGGCCGGGCCAGGCTGAAATGATCACCCCTAGTGGGATCCACACCACTCTAATTACATATTGGTTTTGAATTAAAATTTATTTAGCCCACAAGTGAGAGACCTGGCCACATGATCAGTCAATAACATTTTTTTTGAAACCAACACATTTTCAAAATTGATTTACGAATCTGACTAAATCAAGCTTATCGGTTCTATCAATATAAATTGACCCCCTAAAAAAAACATGAAAATCTGTCATTCATATTAGAACGGGATTGTTTAGCATTTTACACTTGGATTTGGGTTTTTGGGTTGAATCCATTCAAATTTTGACAAAAATCCAACCTGAACCTGCCCAAATTGCACTCTTCATGCCCATAAATAGGTTTAAAATATCACAAAAGATACCCATTTTTTTAAAAGGCCAAAAAGACATTAAGATTTAGGAAGGGTTTAATGTTCAAACTCAAAATACGCACATATTTTGAACCTTGGCCTAAGAAACTGATTCCCCAAAACGTAACCCTCCTAATCTCCTACAGAGTATTTGTTGTCGCCACCTGAGATTGCGGAATAATAAATGTTACTTTTTCGTTATCTTAAACTTTGGAATTCAAAATCCTTGCTTTCCATGAACCTGTCTTTGGTACCCAAAGAACCTAACCCAAGGAATTGACAACCCTAACGCAAGCAGAACTACACAATACCATCTGACCAAATTACCCAGTTAACTGGGTTGTGAAACCAATCTCTGCATCACTAGACACTGATCAAAAGTGGAATAAATCGAACTTGAAAACAGGCAATTGTGATTACTAATTAGTTTACAAGGTTTTTTCCCATCTTTCAAACTTCTTAATTAATCCGTGTAAGATTGAAAATGATGTACCACCAACTGCTGCATACAAATAGGACACCATCACTGTAAGACTGACCAGTCACCTGACAGCTCCCACCACTGGCCGGAGGTTCACCATTTGGTTTATACAAGATGCATGTCCATTTGTGTCTTCCACCCAACAAATAGAAACCAGTCATGTAGCCCAGGATTTATCTTCCCCCATAGGCCCATACACTTAATTTTGATAAAATATACAGTTTTTGTCTTTTTGCTATGGATTCCCATGCATAAGAACACAACAATACAAGTGAAGATTCAAGAAAGAAACCCGACTAGGAAGTTTTCATTCCTGTTTTTATACAGGATGGACAGATTCTTGACAAGTCATTCATTGAAAAATCTTAATTTCTCAGCTTGCTTATTCCTCCCAGGTCCCATTGATTAGCTCATGCATTTAAGAGGGAAAATTTTAATCTTCTGGAGCCATCAATCTCCTATGAAGAATTAAGTTGCCATGCTTGTCACTGTTGCACTGGGCTTCCAAATTCTGTGGTTTGATCTGTTAAATTGGTCAACTTTTCAAACTTCACCACCAATCCTGTAATCCGACAGAGAGGAATTTGTTCTAGCTTCACCCGTTGACGATGACTCTTTGTCCAAGCCAAAGAATGAGCAGTTCTGAAATACATCTAGGCTGCTAGCTATCAAACGGTTCAATCCACTGAAGCTAGTACTGTCCCCAATAAACAGATCTTGTCTATGGTACTTAGGTGAAGGTATATCCAAGTCTAATGGTCCCAGAGAGTCTGGCTGCAATGGGTGATAGTCACAGAAGACCATAAAATAAGATTCTCTCTTCAAATTCAACTGTAAAGAAAAAAGAAACGTTACAAGACTTTTGAGCATTAGTCCAGTACCCAGTATATATCTGTAAGCTCGTCGAGATCATCTGAAGAATTCTTTGGACTGAGGTCCTTTGCAGAATTCTCTGGAATGAGTTCCTTTGCAGAGCTGTCTGGGCTGTCCACATCAGACTGGCAATTATCTAAAGGATCTCCTTCACAAGTAGAACTCTTGGGCCGTACTTCAGGCAACTCCTACAGAAACCATACAAGTTTCACTTTGTCAGCAGTTCTTGCTTCAATCAAGCAATAAGAGAAACTTGAAAGGGAATATGAAAGTAAAACCTCGGTCAAGCCCCTGAAACTCGTAGAACTGGTGTTGGCAATCTGTCTGCAAGCCTCAAGTGAAGCAATTTTGGATGGGCTCTGAACCTCTTGATTGAAAGCACGAATCTTTTGAAATGCAAAGGCATCACATGTCTCTTCAGCATCCCAGAGAGATGTTGCATGGGAAACCTGAGTAGATTGAAAGCCCATTTTTTCTTTATGACCACCTATATGAGCAGCAATTGCTGCATCAAATGAATCACAGCTGAATGGGATCTGCTGAAGATACTGAAAACTTCCCAAAATAGGTTGGTCAGTGCAGTTGTTATCAGCAGCACGAGATGCTTCTGAGAGTAGATCTCCTATGCTTATGTTGGTTAGGCTATCAGCCCACTCTCCTGCTGACAATTGTGTACTGTTGCTCATCCGCAAATTGTCCTAGAGATGACGCAAATTAAAAGTGTAAAACCAATCCTAATGTATCAGATAGAAATATTCAATGAATAATGTCATAACTTGTCATTCCATTTGTATTAAAAGTGTAAAAGCTTTTTCAGTTTTTCTGTATTTTTTCAACTAAATTGTCACATTTTCAACTAGACTAAATTATCAATGCTGACATACTCTGAAACAACATATGTTTATCATTAGATCACCAAATCTGTACGAATGGAAGAGAATTGGATCACCCAGTGATACCCCAGCAGTATAATTGCCACCATTCTTCTGTTTGAATGACATAAATCATAGGCATGGAAGAAGGAAAAACTTACCACCTCTTCCCATTGTCTCCTTGTACTTCCATCTCCAATTTCCTTTCTGAACCAGGATGAATTGACTGAGGACACCGGGAGGTTGCCATCAGGATCTATTGCAGTATTTCCAGTCATGCCCTTGGAACAGTCAGTATATGAGGGTAGAATAGAGGTCTCTGCTGTCATCGAGGTTACCCGATCCTTAAAGCACTCTACGAGGTGACTGGTAGATAGTGCAGGTTCTTCCCTAACATGGTTAGATGTTGTTGATGCTTGAAAAGTTCGGTCAAGTTCTGTATCAGAGAACCAACCATATCTAGAAAAAAAAAAAAAAAATTGTTAAGTTAGTAGCTGATTTGTTAACTTATTGGCAGCTGCAGGTTATATATGCCTCATAATTTGAGAGTTAAGAAGAAACCTCAATCGAAAAATTGGAGGGCTGCCTATAATTGCATATACATCTGCTGCACTGGCAACAGTGTCCTGCTTCCATCTTGGATAACCAACTAGATTCTCCCTCTGTACACTGTATGGGAAAAGAATCAGATCCCCTGATGCTATACTTGAATTGCCCCACTTACGGTTGAGATGTTCCAGAACTGAAGATATCTTCTTCCGGCCACTTAGAGTGAGCTCCAAGTAAGGATTATGTTCATCCTTTAGTAGAGAGGAAGAGTTAGCCCATTATTGCAGTAGAAGTTCTTGCACATTGACAACTGTTATGGATTCTTTAGCAGATAAAATATGCTTATAGTTTTTCATGTTTGCATGTTCACCTTTTCCAAGGCCTTTCGAGTAACTTCATCAATTGGAAACAATTGGAGCTTTAGCTTCAGAGATTGTTGTGCATTGCCATCTATAACTTGAGGTGCTGAAGAAGTTAACACAGGCAATGTGGGGACAAGAGGAGCAGCATCCGTTTGTGCTGAAAGACATGGAGGGAACTGAATCAGTTAGTGATAAATAGATTTTCCATTTTAGTATTTCCTTTCAAGAACTTACCATTGGAAAGAACCACTGGCCCAGAAAATGACTCGTTCAAAAATCTTTGTGCCTGAGAATCCTTTTGGTTGGCAGTTTCTCGCTCCAAATGCTCAGCAGCATCTGCGACCAAGGAAACCCCAGCCATAGCTGCTTTTTCCCATCTTTTGTATGCAGCTGGAGAGGCACCTGTAAATATCCAGCAACAACAAAGATATTAGGTCAAATTCAAAGTTGGTAACTTCTTACACTTAGGGAACACAAAAATACAGGAGAGAGACATTAAGATATTATTAATAGTTTAAAACAGAAACATTTTCATTTGCAAACAGTAGTTCAAAATAGGGAAAATTCCTGATCAGTACCCTGTACTTTGGCTCGAGTGACAATTTGGTCCCCGAACTTTAAAATGCGATAATTCAGTACCTAAACTTTCAAAATGTGACAATCCAGTACCCAAACTTACAAAGTGTGACAATCCAGTACCTGTCGCTAACCAGTCCGTTAATCAGCCGTTAAGTGACATTTGAAAAGTCAAAAATGCCCTAAGAATGCTATCTAATTCTCTTTATCAACCATCCAAACATTGACAATAAAATGAATAGTCCCAAATTCTAGATTCTTTTAAATAGTCACCAACTTTTTTGAATAGAAGAGGCTAGGATTTGGGACTGTTCAGTTTCTTGTCAACATTTGGATGGTTGATAAAGAGAATTAGATGGCATTTAAAGGGCATTTTTGACTTTTTAAATGTCACTTAACGGCTGATTAATGGACTGGTTAACGGCAAGTACTGGATTGTCACGTTTTGAAAGTTCAGGTACTGGATTGTCACATTTTAAAGTTCGGGGACCAAATTGTCACTCAAACCAAAGTACAGGGTACTGATCGGGAATTTTCCCTTTGAAATAATGTATTTATTTCATAGAAGCAATGCAAGCACCAAGTATATGTGCCTTCAGAAGAAGGCAGAGTTTATTCACTTTAAGGTCAACTTGAAATGGTAGGACCTGAATAAAGTGCTCTCAAATGAAAACCTTCTAGCTCGAACCTCAGTTCTCCAAAGGGAGATGAAAAGTACAGTAAAAAGAGGACAAAATGCAGATATCAAAATACATCTATATACATGTTAATATGCATGCAGAAAGATATTGGATTTCCAGCCATAATTGTTAAGAGTCATTAACCATGCCAATATCATCAACAAACAATGCAGCCTAGAAACTATATCTAATGCATGAACACCTAGCATATCATGAAATTACTTGCTTATGGTCAATTAGAAATTTGTTTGCAGATTTGATATTTCTTGTAGCTCGTAGAAGTGCCAGTGAAACTGCATATACAAGTGTATTTGAAATATATCCCGGATATTGTCCTATTTCTCAGTGAGAAAACATTCATATGAAATTCAAAAAATTCCAGAATCCAGATATTGGCAACATTTCAGGGTTATATCCTATACCTTCAATGTCAGTTTTTTTTTGGAATATTTGGAGAAAAATCGTTGAAATGAGAACTTTCTTTTAGTTTAGTTTAGCATTCTTTTTTTCAATTTAATCAAAATTTATTGATGCTTGTTAGTGAAGGGGTATTTCGGTCTTTGTACCTGTTGAGAATGCTGATGTGTACTATTATGTTAGTTCGAGTGCCTCTTACTTAAATAAGAACACTTATGTCTTTTCCAATTATATTAATAATATAATAACAGGTCTGGCCGAAACTAGGGTTGACTTTTTCCTAATTCG